TGATTCGGATTCAGTCGTTACCAGTTTTTCTTGGATTGCCAAGCGAGTCTTGTCTTGAGTTAGAATCCTTTGATAGACGTCTTTGTCATTGCCGTCCCGTGCTCGCATACTCCCTTTTGCCCAGCCGGGATCCATCAAACTAAGGGGAATTATCACGTTTCAGCTCGTGACTGCGACTTGTTCAGCGACTTCGTCAACTGAATATTGAGAATATCTAACTACAGATTCATTGCGATTCCTCTAATTTCGTTACCGCCAAATCTCTGATTTTATTACTGCTATCTATCTTGTTCTAAGATCCATTTTCATTTACAGAGGATTGCAGCAACCTCGTCTAGCGCCAAAATCTCCCTGCCGCGGCTGTCCATCCATTATGGCAGCCCACAGCTATTACAACGGCGGCTACAGCAACAATCCCCCAACCTACGAGCAAACCCTTCCTCACACCGAACCCGTCGATCGCGTCTCTCCGGTATCACAGGGGCATGGTTACACAGGCAACAGCGGACATCCTTATGCAACTGCCGACTATGGCTCACATGAGACTCGGCACAGCCAGCACTCGATCGCGTCAGACCAGGGGGGCCCATATGTAGCGGGCGGGAGGTTCAGCGAGGCCGATTACTACTCGGACAATATACCGTTGAAAGCACACAATCAAGATCCAAATGGATCTCCACCGCCAAACTGGATGCAGCAGCCAACTCAATATGCACCAGACCCCTCGGCAATGGAGCCCGCAGGGCCCCCGGTTGCCGCGACGAGGAGACAGAGGAAAGGGATATTCAAGAAGAAGATTGCTTGGGTGACATATACATTGACCATAGCCCAGGTCATCGTTTTCATCGTTGAGCTGGTGAAGAATGGTATGTGGTTTCAGCGATCCGTTTTGCCCGCTGGAGGTCCATCGTACTGACTTTTTGCAGCTCAACTTACAGGAAGCCCGATTGAACTCCACCCCCAGTTCAACCCGATGATCGGCCCTTCGCCGTACGTTCAGATCAACATGGGAGCGCGGTACACGCCATGTATGAAGAACGTGGACAAGATTCAGAATTCGCAGGTGGAGTTCCTGTTCCCGTGTCCGAACGCGACATCGACTGCGGATTTTGTATGCACCCTCTCGGAGCTGTGCGGTTTCGATGGAGTCCCGAACCCGGTTCCGGGCGGCACCCTGGACGATCGCCCTGAGCCAAATCAATGGTTCCGGTTCATCATTCCCATGTTCCTTCACACCGGGATCATTCACATCGGCTTCAACTTGCTGGTTCAAATGACAATGGCCGCTGACATGGAGAGAACGGTGGGATGGTGGCGGTTCGCCTTTGTCTACTTGGCCAGCGGTATCTGGGGTTTCGTGCTCGGCGGAAACTACGCTGCTCAGGGCGAGAGTTCTTGTGGCTGCTCGGGCAGTCTATTCGGAATCCTGGCTCTCTATATCTTGGACCTTCTCTACACTTGGGGTGAACGGTCGAGTCCGTGGGCTGAGCTTGTGATCATGGTTCTTGGCATCGCCATTTCTTTCGTGCTGGGGTTGCTTCCGGGGTTGGACAATTTCTCACACATTGGAGGCTTCGTCATGGGTCTGGCATCTGGTCTCTGCATTATGAGATCTCCTAATGCCCTTCGCGAACGCATTGGTCTTGCCCGTAACCCATACGTGGCCATGACTGGTGCCGCGGGTGCCAGCGCTGACCCAGGAAATAAGGTCACCAATCCTGGCTCGACCATTGCCGAATTTTTCAAGGCTCACAAGGGCTCTAAGAGCTCGAAAGACTCCAGTGCTCTGGGTTTCTTCAAGGGTCGTAAACCACTTTGGTGGGCCTGGTGGTTGGTGCGACTCGGGGCATTGGTTGCAGTCCTCATTGGCTTCATCTTGCTTATTGTGGACTTTTACAAGTATCACACCTCGAATTGCTCATGGTGCTACAGACTGAGCTGCTTGGTGAGTCCGCCTCAATCGAATTACATCCGTGACATACTGACACTCTACAGCCGGTCAATGATTGGTGCGAGCAGGGTCAGATCACAGTTGTCAACACAACCACAACAAACTAGGTTTATTTTAATGCCATAGAGAAATTTAGATCAGCTTTCTCAAATCAAAGACATACTGTATATAGTGGTTCAAGCAGGCCGCATTTTGATACTCTTCATATCAACAAGTGGGTGGTCTTTTGGTACTTATTCGGGATGATTTTGATGTTACTATACCCAGGAAGAGAATATGTCTATAGACTAGGCTCTCTATCACAGTGACAATGTGACAATTCAGCTGGTCTGATTCTTAAAATATCCTTCTCTTCCAGAGTCAACAAAGGTGGCTGTGGCTGGTGCTAACCACGTGTATAATTACGTACGCATCGATGGCTGTGCAGCTGGTAATTACCGTACGATACCGCTATCCTCCCGTCATCAACGTACTCCGTCAAGACGGCGATCTTCCGCAATCATCCACCAGGCTCCAGCTCAGCATCATCGCCTTGTTTTCAGTGCTCTCCTTCGTGCTTCTTCATCTTTTCTTGTGTCTATTCTCACTATTTGTTTAATCCTTGAATATCAAGTCTTCCTACTATCCATTTTGCTCCTCGCCAACACAACTATCCCTCCAGTATCTAATTCGCAATGACCGCCTGCTCATAGATCGTCTCCATGCTCTCGTTCTAGTTGCGAAATCTCCCAACGGTGATATACACCGGCATTCACAATGGCAACCCTGGCGACATCGCCGCCAACATCTCCAACCTGGCCCAAACGCCGCCCGCGGGCATGGGCCCTCCGGTGTGAACGATACTGCTGCGCCGCAGCAACCTATTTTCCTCTGGCATTTGTGTACAGTTTGACGACGTGGGCGGTCTACGTCGAAGCGAGTATTGGGTTGAAGCCGTCGCGGAGCCCCTGGATCGGTATGTTGCGAATTCCATTGACCTTGAATCTGTACCAAATAATGCGCGGATCGGAACTGACTTCGTTTCCGGTAGGGCTACCAACCTCGATACTGGGAGTTCTTCTCTACATATGCCTTAATGCCTCGTACACGGTGGCGGTCTTTACGGATCCCGGGTCGCCGCTGACGACTGGGGCCGGTCGGCATCAATACAGTGCGCTGCCGGTCACCGAGTTGCCCGAGTATACGGCGTACACGGTGAGCTCGACCGGGGGATCGCGGTATTGCAAGAAATGTCAGTGTCCGAAGCCGGACCGGGCACACCACTGCTCGACGTGTAAGCGGTGCGTGCTGAAGATGGACCATCACTGTCCGTGGCTTGCGACTTGTGTGGGGTTGTACAACTACAAGGCGTTTCTGCTGTTTTTGGTCTATACGTCGCTGTTCTGCTGGGTGGATTTTGCGGTGTCGGCGACGTGGATCTGGACGGAGGTGTTCAACGATGCTCCGTATCTGGACACGATGCTGCCGGTGAATGTGGTGTTGCTGGCTATTTTAGGCGGGATTATTGGACTGGTGCTGACGGGGTTCACGGCTTGGCATATCAGTCTTGCGGTCCGGGGCATGACGACGATTGAGTGTTTGGAGAAGACGAGGTATGTGTCGCCATTGCGGAAAGCGCTGGATCGCCACCGCTATGAGCACATACTGGGGAACCACCGGGATGGTAACGGGGCCAGTCCGGCTGCGGACAGCTTTGGCCATCGGCTGCAGGACTACGGGCAGCAGATTCTCGACGCGCATGCTAATGCGATTCCCGGAGTTACTCGGGCCGAAGAAGGGGAGGAATGGCTCTCTCCGGCACCAGAGCAGCCCGCTGGCCATGGAGTGTCTGATGATCAACTCACGCCCGCGCAACAGGCGCTGACACGATCGTATGCGGAACTCGAAAGACAGCGGGAGCACGACAGGTACCAGGATTATCTGAACGAGGAGGATAACGGAAAGCTACCGCACGCGTTCGATCTCGGGTGGCGCAGGAATCTCCTGCATTTGTTCGGCAGCCGGCCCCTACTCTGGCCCATCCCTGTGTGCACGACTACCGGCGACGGTTGGCGCTGGGAACCGAGCCGGAAATTCCTTGAAGCGCAAGAAGGACTACGCCTAAAGCGAGAACAGGACATGGCCAACCAGCAGCATTACTACCGTGATCTGTACTCGCGCAACATGAACAACAGTCGAGCCTGGCTAGGGCCGGACGCTGCAGCCCCAACATGGAATCCGCATCAGCCGTTAGACAGCTTCAGAAACCCGGAGCGGCCCGCCACGGGGGTGTCGATGCGGACTTTGGCGCCCATGTCCCCGCGACCACGCCCGGGTGATAGTGATTTTGAAGATGACATCAGTGAGACTGATCCTTTGAACCAGCAATCTGTCCCTACAAACGGGGCTGTAAACCGATTGCATAAACCGAACGAGGCAAGCAGCGCGACCACTAACCGACGAGAGGAGTCGAGCGAGTGGCGGGACTGGGATTGATACCTTGGTCTAGTTCTCTTGTACTTGTCGGGTATTGGACATAGCGGACATGCATACATGAATAGGTCGTATACACGGAGTACTTCCGATATGAGGAGATGAAGTTCATGCGGCGTATTTTGTACGATGTTTCATATTCCAAATTTTGATTTAGATTCGTCTTAATGCATTAGATTAAATGGCTTGGAATCCTGCCAGCTAGCTGCTAGGAGTTGATTGGTGCCTGAGGTATATAGTACTATGTATCTTACTCCGAGGCCGCGTGGAAACTCCAACGTCATTGGAACAGGACAAGCTGGCATTTATCTCAGACGGAGTACCGCTCTATTTATTCACTCATCTTTTGCACTACATACAAGCAGTCCTACCTACTGATAAATCACGAATTGGTACACTCCAATGCCACATAACATTTGACGCCTGTATAGTCCTCGCCAGTTGCCACCTTATCAGTTATCAGCCGTCACCCCAATCTGATAACTCAATCAGATCAACGCATCTCAACCAAGCAAACACCACCACCACCACGAACAAAATAATCACATCTACTGGCAAAGTCAGGGAAAGTCTCAAAATGACATCCCCCTCCCACCGGCGCCTCCTAAAAGAAGCCTCCGAACTCGCCTCCCACCCCTCCCCGCACTTCACCGCCCACCCCGTCTCCGACTCCAACCTCTACGACTGGCACTTCACCCTCGCCGGCCCGCCCCCTCCCTCCCCATACGCCGGCGGCATCTACCACGGCCGCATCGTGCTTCCACCCAGCTACCCACTGCGCCCACCCTCCTTCCGCTTCCTCACCCCCTCCGGCCGCTTCGAGGTCAACCGCGAGATCTGCCTCAGTATCTCGGGCCACCATGAGGAGACATGGCAGCCTGCGTGGGGGATACGGACGGCGCTACTTGCGCTGAGGAGTTTTATGGATGCGGATGCGAAGGGGCAGGTGGGGGGGTTGGATGCTGATGTTGCTGTGAGGAGGCGGTATGCGGTTGAGAGTCGGGGGTGGGTGTGTGAGGTTTGTGAGGGGGGGAGGAGTAATGAGGAGGTGTTGAGGGAGTGGAGGGAGGTGTGTCGGGCGAAGGGGGTGGAGGTTCAGGGTGCTGGTGCTACCGCGGAGAGGACGGCTTCGGGGGAAGCTGAGCCAACTCCAGAACGAGAACCGGAGGATACAAATGCAAATGCGAATGCAAATGCAGATACGGGAACGGAGACGGAGACGGCGTCTTCTCAGAAGGAATCGGAATCAATACCGTCGAAGGATGCTACGCCGCAGCTGCAGGTACAAGTACCGGTACCTTCTGTGTCATCTGCGCCTGCAGAAGCAGCTGCACCTGCACCTGCACCAACACGCACGACTCCAGTCCAGACTACGACTGCTACTACTTCTCGACCTACTACGTCAGATGCACCGTGGCTGGATCGAGCCATCCTAGGCGTTCTCGTCGCATTGGCGTTTATGATCGTACGGCGGCTTGCCAAGTCGGAGGAGTTTTAGCTATTAGCGTTGTTCTTCTATGGGTGGGCTGGTCCCGGGGAGTTTTTGGATATCTCATTGTTTTTGGTTGGAGCTTGGTGCATGCATGGAGTGATGTTTATTCCAAGGTTTTGATTGAAGTCTGAACACCATTGGAGGTCGGCGTTTCATGACAGTACTGCTATACAGCTAGATACATTATATCGGAGAGTCAATAGCCAGTTATCATGCCAACACCATCCACCACCATTCTTGAACTTGCCATCCGGTGGTCTCCTCAACGGGTTCTGCGTCCTCGTTCTCCCTGCGTAAAACACCCACATCCGCCATCCATTTCAACAAGAGGAGTACCTCCCACGCTCCCATTGATGGTTGCACCATGCTCGCAACCCCCTTGGCACTGATCCCGGGACGCACCGCGACGATCCCCACGACGGCCGCCACGGCAAACTCCCAGAGCACCCTGACAAAGTTGCCATGGATATCAAACCACAGGGGGATCTTCTCAGGAACGAATTCGCCTTCGCTGATGGCGGCGCGGGGCGGACACGGCGGCGGCGTGTTGGCGACTTTCTCCCCGATCGGGTTGCCGTATGTATACGACGCCTCGACTGGCTGCACCTGGACCACAAAGCGCAGCTTATCCTTGTCGATTTGTCTGGTTAGGTAGCCGCCGTCTGTGAGCCCGAATTTGTCCCGTGGGGGATCCTTCGGTTTCAGGATGATTCTGCGCTCGGCGGCGAGGTTGATCAGGGCGAGGATGTCGCCGTCTTCCGCGTGGTAGTTGATGGTGAACGAGCCGGTGCTTTGCAGCGCCGGATCCAGGGTCCCGGTTTTGAACCGCGCGGCTCGCCGGAGCTGCGTGACCTCGATGTTCCGCCTGCGGCCCAACATGTGCAGGAAGAACTCGGTGATGTCGTAGTTGCGGCCCGGGGTAATGCGCCCCCTGTTGCCCTGCGATACGACCCGCTCCGTCGTCAGGGACTGCAGCGCATCGTCGACAAGTCTGCCTCCGAAATTGGCCAGGGCTTGCCGGGCCTCCGCGGGCCGGTATGACTCCTCCGGTGCGACGATGTTGGCTCGAACCCACGTCTTGGCCACTTCCAACCGCCCAAGCTCGGCTTGTCGTGCTGTAGGTTGGGTCGGCTTCTCAGGCACAGGGACGGCGAAAGGAACGCCTGCGTAGAGAGCACGTCTGCGGTTCACAGTCACCCCATGAGTATTCTGATAGAGTTCATCCAGCGTGACCGGCGCCTCCTCGCGCAGCTCAAACACGCTGTCGAACTGGTCCTTGGTGGCAGGAAGATCCGGCAGCTTCTCGGACTTGGGAATGTCCAGCTCTGTCTGTGCCCAGTCGACGACCCTCTCCCAATCATATCCTTCCAAGTCTTCGTAATTGATCGGCGGCACCTGGCCGTTCGCGTATGCTACAATAAACCGCTCCTGGAAGTCACTCTGCATCTTCGCTACCTGCAGTCGGTTTCTGCTGAGAATGTTCTTCCCCCGCTCTTGGATCATTTTCGGATCCTGGTTGGGGAAACTCTGGCAAACCAGCTGCCAGTCAACGATCCTGCCTTCATAGCCGCCCGCTAGTGCCCTAACGACCACAATCGCAGTCAGAATCCTCTCTGCTATCAGACGTGGCAGATGTTGAAGAGCTCGATTCCGACGCGCAGCCGGTCGGTTTGGCGGTTTTGGCACGACGACATGTCGAGGACCTTCGGCGGCTAGTTTCTCCAACCGACGGTTTTGCGGGACATAGTCGTTGCGCCGTCTACGAGAGTCGGCGGAAAACAGCAGATCCAGTGCATCCAGCGAGTCATCCGAATCTTCAGCGTCAGAGGAAACTTCCGATTCTGAAGGCTCTTCGGATTCCACTGCCTCTTCTGCCTCTTCGGGTGGAGATTTTTCAGGTTCAAGTAATTCCAAACGGCGAGCTGCTTCTCTAATCTTCCTGGCTCTCGGAACCCGCACCCTAGGATAGGCGCTCTGATCAATTTCAAACTGAATATCCCCTTCTATCGGGACTGCCTCTGGGAAGTCATCAAGCGTTTGATGGATAAAAGAAAACTCCTGGCCTTCGGCAGCTTTTTCAAGTATGAATTCTTCATTCTGGAGCTCCCACCTCAAAATCACACCGGTTTCACAGAAGAACTTGCTTGTGCGTGGATCCACAGCTCTGGAGAAGTCTACTGGGGTTCGCTTTACCTGGTCCAAGATGTCGTCCAGAGATTTCGGAAATCGGAAGGCGGCTCTTGCACGGGCAACGGCCCCAGCTCGGACCGCTACAAGCCCAGCCTCTGTCGAGAAGGTGCCCGTACTGGAATGAAACGTCTGCACTGGATTCATGAACATAGCGTAAGGTGCCATGAGTGAAATAGGCATCCAGAGACGTTTCAACCTGCGGGGAGCTCTGGCAGCCTCCTCTTCTCCAGCGAGGCCGTCAGCTGGGGTGTGATGCTTCAGGATGCGTTTCCGTTGCTGAGCCTTTCCTCGAGTCTTGGAGATGGGCCCCAGGTCGCGCTCCAGAGAGTCCCGTGCGGGCCCGCGTTGAAGTCTGGCGAGTCGAACAACTCCAGAGGGACGTAGAACCTCCGTGTCAGACTGGAGGCGCTGCAGCAGCCGGCGTTGAATGCTCTGTCCCTTTCTCTTCTCCAGAGCCAGGACAAAGGCTGGCTTTTGATGTAAATGCACGGTAATCCCGCGCTCAATGGGGAGTTTCGCCATCTTAGGTTCGCCGCTCGGCGTACTCTTCGCACTTTTCGCACTTGACTTGGTCAGTTCAGGATCCACAGCAACGCCGGGTGGGAAGTAGTATCGAGCGGTCGTGGTGAGCATCTTGTGCTGCAAGTCTTTGATTACTGGATGATCAGGCTGCAGTTCAGGCTTGGCGACAATGCTCTTTGTTACCATTACCCCTTTGCTGTCCCTCCCACTGAATGTGAACTGCCGAAGTTTGCCTGCGTCAATCAGGTGTTTAATAGATGTCTTGACTGTTCGCATGTCTGGCTTTTCCTTGTACTTTGTCTTCTTCCATGCAGTTGCAAATGGGTACCATATTTCGGTACCCATGGAGTATGCGCCTCCGGCTCTCTCAATAATATCCATGATAATGCTCCTGCGTAAGACCGCAACAGAGCCTAGCTTGTCTTGCCTCTTTGTGCGCGGTCGATGCCCCTCTGGCGTCTGCGATGCGTCGCGCTGCTGGACATCCGGTGTCCCGTCAGTGGGTTTCAGGTCGATAACGTTGGCTTCTTGGATGTTACGAATAGCGGCGCCTGGCTCGGCAGTTGCAGCCGGGGTGGCCTCATCCACCACCATGTCCACGTGTGCTGCGTCCTCCAATGGCCTGCCAATTGCTTCTGCTTCAACCCGGCGGTGTTCTCCATTCTCGACTTTGGTGGGCTCTGATGGAGCAACATGCTCAGCGACGTTTTCAATCGTGGCTGTCGGAGAAAGGGTTGAGGCAGTCTCTTCACCTCGCTCAGCTTGAGGTTCATATCGACGCTTTTTGTACGGTGTCTCTAAGTTTTGACGAGGCTGCGACAGGCCGACTTGCTTTTTCCCTGCTGGTGACGGAGCTTGTGCCTTCTGAGAGGCTAGTCCTTCCATGCTCTTGCGGACTGCGACATCTTCCCCGGTAGCAATTGGAGACGGTTCCCTTCTCCGTTTGCTGGCCCCGGAAGGTGCGTTCTTGACGGTGCCGATAGAGGGCTCACCAGTCTGCTGTCCGTCTGACAATGTTTTCTCAGACCTTAAGACTTCAGCCTCAGCGACTTGCCGAGAAACCTCGGTGCCTTCAAGACGCTGCTGTTTAGACGGTCTTTGATGATCCGGCTCAGCTTCTGCGTCAAGGCGAATCCGACTCCGAAGCGTTCTTTTCGTACCTCTCGAAGGAGTGTCTGGCGCTGCAGAAGTCGTTGCAGAGGTGTTGATCGCAGTAAATGAGGGAACAGGAGTTGTCTCAACACTCTGAGCCTGAGAAACTTGTTGACTAGTGCTAGCAGCTTCATCTTCTGGTTCGCCTTCCGGGCTCTCAGTAAACCACGGCAGTGATGCTAACTTTGGCGACCTGAAAACTGCAAGGCGGGAGATTCTCGGACGACCTTGTCGTTTCCCCGCTGGCCTGCGTCGTCCGCGAGGCGTGATGTACACACCGGGTTCTGTGCGCTCAAGGAGCAAGACACTGTATTCAGTCCACGTCTCATCCAGCCCCAGCGCCTCGAGTTTCTCTTTTTCAGACATCCCTCGGAATCTCTCTTCGTCGCGTTGCGCTTTCTTCAACCGCTTGATAGCCAGGTGGTCTTGTTCAGGAATGACATCCCCTTCCAATTCAGACAGTTGTTCCTTCTTGAGCTTTGGTTTGTTGGGGGTTCCCTTCGGACGTCCGACTCGATTCATACCTGGCAAGCCGAAACGTATGACTGCTCAAGAGTCAACACCAGTGGTTCACTTATTGCCAGGGGCTAAACTTACCATAGCTATCATCCTTCAGCCGTAACGGCATAGGATCATTTCCGGTGCAATTGTAATCTGCTGGATTGACAGCCAAGATGCCAGCCAGAAGCGATGCATTACCATTCTTGATAAGTTCCTTCGTAGGGACAGCTTTGGGTAATCCATTCTCGTCCAGATCGGGAACAGCATCGATGGGCGGTACAGAAATTTTCTCTGCCTTGGTGTTTCTGGGGACAAATTCGACAGCTTCCCACGATGCCTCTCCGGCATCAACGAGGTTTTGGAAGTTGGCCGTTGAGTAATGGATATAATGTGTGATAGTCTTTTCAAGTGCCGTGTCCCGCACAATGGCTAGATGGCGCAGGTGTAGGGGCTGGGACAACTGCCAGCATTCCACTAGCCGGGCCAATGTGTTTTCCAGTGGTCTGCGGAAAAAGCTCCCGAAACCGGCTCGCAGGATATCCTAAAGTAGGTCAGCAGAAGCCACTTTGCACATTGAGTTATCCATCTGCACACTCACAAGGTTGGTAATCCCAGAGGTTCCGGCTTGGTCGACAAGGTCGAATATCTGATTGTGTATATTACGATCCGGAGACCAAGCAGGAATCGTTCGACCAGCCTCCTCCACGGCCCCCTCTTGCTTGACCATACCAACAGCTTTGTCGGCCCCGGCAGGAGCGAAATCTTCACTGGCATCAACTGGACCCGCACCGTCTTCCAACTCTAGCCCATCTTCCTGCTCGAGGTCGGTGTAGATATTTTGACTATACTCATGAAATAGCTCATAGTCCCTCTCCGTTGGCTCCCGAACTAGCATCACACAGGGATGCAGCTTTTTCATATCATGCGCATACTGTGACGTCGCCCTAACGCGCTTGAGCACACCGATACGCTCGAATTTGCGCAAAGCTCGGGACAGAACTCTCCATCGCCAGGGATCGGCGAACCCAAGAGCACTCTTGAGATCGGTACGGGCGATGATCTTGTACTCCCGGAGGATGGCAAAGAGCCTGTCGTTGAAGTCCCTAAAGTCAATAAGGCGCTCTTCCTGGTCGCCCGCTGTGGCAGCACCAGAGAGGTCGGACTTGGAGAACCTTCGCAGCACGCAGAGACTGGTCCGTACAGACTTGATCTGTATCGCCCTTTTCTCAATGTACCCCTTGTCTTGTAGCACGTCGGTTCGCTTGGGGACAGAACGCTTATCCTGGCCGCTGAGTTTGACTAGATCTGTTTGGAAGACTCCATTGGATTTATGGGACGCAATGATGGAGAGAAGTGCGAATTCCAAGGGAAGCACTTTGGTCTCATCCGGCTCATGACCAGCCACCGCTAGCCATCTCCTTTCCCTAGAGACGAAAACCCGGACCGCATGTTCAGGGTCCGCCTCACGAGCGAGTCGCTCAGCATCATTCAGGTGCAGATGATTACTCTCTCGGTCTCTCCCGACTGAAACTTCTGGGTGTCTTGTCAACCAAGACCAGACTTTTTCCTGGAATCGGCGATCGACAGTATGACTCCGTGCAGATGTCTCATGGGTTGCGCTGGAGTAGAATGTGTCGATGAAAGTCAAGATATCCGCAGGAGATGCGCCTATGCATATTAGTTAGGGTAAGTGTGGTGAATGAGGTACGACGCGATGATGATAGAGAATGACTACATGACGGTGCAGTCTCATTGGATGAATGGCAGAGAGACGGCGTCCAAGGTCGGGTATGCTTAAACTAGTGGGTGCGGATGCATCAACGTGCAGGAATAGTGGGAGAAAACACAATAAGTACGACACCAGAGATGTGAGAAACATAACCCACCTTGGTCGCCACAGAGCGCAATCTCCGCGAGAAGATGATCAATCAAGTCTTGTAAGCTTGGAGCCATCTGTCCATCGTTCTAAGACAGCCGGTAGGGTTGCTGGACAAACAAGATATCATAACATACAACGGAGAAAAATTCTGCTGTTGCTGGTAAATTGAAGCAGGAGACGAGATTCGAACCGCCGCCGTAGGAGAAAGAAATTCCTGAGCAGAAGAAACGAGAAACTGGACGAGAGGCGGATATTGTCACGTGACGAGAGGGCAGACCATCAAAAACACCCAACTACCAGTATTACTATTACTATTTATTCGTCTACAGCAGGGGACATTTGGAGGGCAAAGAGATGACCAGACAATTACGACGAATAACAAAAAAAAAAAAAGAAATGACAAGGGTGGGATTCGAACCCACGCCCCTTGCGAGACACGGAAACTGATGAATCAGTTTATAGGTCCAGTTCCTGAACCGTGCTCCTTAGACCACTCGGACACCTTGCCTTTGATGCTTCAGAGTACATAGAAAGTGCCATATGTCAAAATCGTCATTTCTTCAATTATGCTATTTCCGCATTGTATGCATAAATTGATGCCGGGGATCGTCAATGATCAGCTGGGTGGGTCCGGAACTTCTTCAACCGTGATATGCTTTGTAGAGTTGCATAGTGAATCTATCCCTAGATCGGTTCCTGATAGAGATAAACAAGGCAATTGTTTGGTGCTCATGGACCCATGGCCCTACATAAGCAGTCGTGATGATTGACAATTGATACTGCCATGGAACACACGAGCCTACCGTAGTAGTGATAGTATGTGTGGCCGCTAGATATTTAAGTCAAAAACATGGCGGCGCTAGGCATACATCACCCGACCCACGAACCCTGTGTCCATCGTAGATCAAGTTATATCATCTAGACCCATTGCCAATGTGCTTCGATTGCCGACCAAATCAGAATTGCGATAACATGATACTATTCGAATACCAAGACAAATACAAGAAAAAAATGACAGCTCGTCGACGATTGCGATCAGATGACATCATCCGCGGCGACGCCGGTTACGTCAGGCACCACGCTGCTTGGGGGCCTGAGGAAACCAAGTCCGTCTATCAAAAGAAATCTTAAAACACACACGCCCGAAAACTTATTCAAGCCGACAGTTCCGAGCGCATCCGTCTCTGATGAAAATAATAATAATAAAGCTTCAAGTCGCCTCTTTTCAGCTTGACTTGCCGCGATCTATTATTCCGTTGTTCCTCACCATTACTTCCCAGCGCCCTCATCAGCGCTTTGCCATGAGTTTCACGATCTAACCACTCTTATCTCCGAAAGCATCGCCATCCAACAATACAAACCGCCACTCTGGACTGATGGAAGAAGGAACTTCTACCACGGTGCCTCTAGAGCCTCCACCACTTCCTTATTCACTGCATACGAGAAAGAAATCCATCGCCATCTTTTGGACGATTTTTGTGCTCGATACATTGGCCCAACCTCTGGTGCTGTACTGGGCCCTCTGGTTCGCCACGGATCTGTCGCACAATGTGGGTAAGTTATCCGCTCTCGTTGTAGGAGCTATGGACTTGGACAGACTGCTCATATCACCGAAATGGACGAATAGTCTTCTCCATCGTCACTGCGTCCCTTGGAGGTGTCTCCGTCTTCGAATACTTTTACCGTCTCTATCACTTGATTCGAAAAGATTCAAAGTCTCGACCATTGAACGCAAGGAAATCATGGGTAGGCTAAGCATAGAAACACCAATCATGTGATAACGGGTACTGATATTCGCGATAGCTGGATTTCTTCCATATCAATTTCACAATCGTCTGGTTGATTCTGGCAGTTGAGCTCATTGTGTAAGTAGCGCAAGTCTGCGAGCTGTCCTCGGAGTGACCATGCTAAACCATCTTTCCAGTGGTACGGTGCCTCATGAACCATATGGTATGTTTCCATGCTTGAGTTTCGTCCATCCAACCACCCTCCGCATTGCTGATCAACCGCGAATTGAACAGTACGCCTCGTCGCCATGGTCCTTCCCACCGTAATGTTCTACTTCGGTGGCGTCTACCTTACCCTCGATATGCTCCGCGTCTGTGGATTCAAAGCCCCCTTCCGGATATCCTCCACACCAAAGGGCTCCGTGATGCCCACAGCCCTCTACGTCCTCATCGAAGACGTCGTCGCCGTTGACGGAGGCGGCGGCCAGATCTACCGCTACGCACTGCGCACCCGATACCTTTCGAGCCCATACTTCCGGCGCATGCTCTTCGAAATGAACATGTTCTGGGCAGGAGGCTCAATCGTCTGTGCAGCTGCCATTACCGCCATAATCTTCACGACCTCGGAACCCGTCGCCTACACTGTACGTCCCCATTCTCACATCCCGCAAATTAACATAGAATAAACCAGTAACATTCGAATAGCTGGGCTGGTCCCTCCCCTTCGCTTGGGCCGGCGTCTGGACCCTCATCACCATCCCGTGGGTGCAAAGCGACCTTCGCCGCGAAAAGAAAGCCTGGAGGGAGAATCGCGGGCAAGGAGACGTGCCCACGTACACCGATGTCGTCGGTGCCCCGTCGGCCCCGACCCGTCTCGAATCAGTCCAGGGCCACCTCCCGAGTTTCTTGCCCTGGGTGCGGGAAAAGCAGTCGTCGCCGACTACTCCGTCTGACGGGCACTCGAACGTGTGATCGACCTGTCTACATTTTCTTCAGTCAAATCAAATTTCAAAGCAGACTAACAAGTTTTAAACGGTCGTTTGTGCTATTATGAATGAATGCATCTGGCGTTGAGATGGAGCTGTCAATTCACGGACACGGGAACATCGGAGAGCGTCTTTCATTATTCGAACACAAGCAGAAGCTATGGCGAGATGTGTGATGTGTATAGATACCCCAGCGGTTGTTTCGGTATGATTTCCTTTTTCTTCTTCGTGTATTTCTACAATTGTATCAACACTTTCTAAGCTTCAGTCTCAATGTCTTTCTCAACTTCACACTGTATTAGTACTATCATCACGTCTGTCACCTCCACGGAGCTAACTGTAAGAAGCTGTCTTTGAAGAAAAAAAAGATGCTATTCCTATTTCCATCTATCCATCTTTGGTATCCAAAAACGAGTAAGGTACTCCCAACAGGGCGCCTCAACTATGTACTAGAAGTATTCTCCACGCCACCAGGAAATGCAACCAACTCGATCTAATCCCTCTCGATCGCCGTATTCCCATTCCAAAAAAAAGAAGCAAACAAGATAGGGAAGAGTAGAACTGTACAGCGCTGAAAGGCAGAACAACACGCTCGCCGCAGGGGAATCCGATCGAATAAATGTCGGGGAAATTAAAATTGGACAGGGAGAAATGACGGGTACACAAACCCGATATATCAAGCTTATCTGGCGGGGGGAAGAACAGAAAATGGATCGGGTATCTGACGCCCAAATACAATCCACCGCACAGAGATAAACCATGGCACAAGATACTTGCATGATTCCGGATATTGAAACGAGATCGGCAACTAAGAGAGGCTATTGGGGGTGAGGAAAATGGCAGGTGGTGAAAGGTGAGAGGGTGGTTGTAATGGAGGACGTCGCACAACTTCGTGGCTGGTCTGTTGAGCGAGCTGAACTTTTGATCGGCCGTTATTTTCGCGACGGCAGCAATTTCCGTCCAAAGCTTCGGATGGTCATTTTGTGACTGCATTGATCAATTAGCGACGAGACCTCCATGACGCTGAACTTCTTGGTATATACCTCTCATCTGGCCCATCCCAAATCTTGGTCTCAGCTCTTGCAATTGCTTGGCCCGACGTCAATGGTCGGTTGGGAGGATTGACGATCCTACGAGATTGCTATGGTGGTGGTTAGCTTCTAACTGTTCTCTAAATTCGTACGACATTGTAGAGACATACCTCCCAGCGAGCATCGACATCCACTTCACTCGCAGAGCGTGAGTCAAATGGTGTGCCTTGATCCTGGACGCTAAGCATACTTGAGCCTAAGGATTGTGATCGCGCGAGTGGGGAGGTTCCTGAGTGAACTGAGCGTTGAGACGTTGACTCCGAATGTTCGCTGTTCGAGTCATAACTCGCTAGGCTCTGGGTTTGGCCCGACGGGGCATTTGATGCACTGTCCGGGTTCTGAAGTAGCTGAGATGAACTGGCAAGCTCGCGATAGCGTTTCAGTTGTTGCTTTGAAGGTCGATGATGAGAAAATTTGTTGCCAAGTATCGCGGGTGCGTGAGAGATCAAAGCCTTGATGACATCCTTCTTCAGTCGCAGAGCCAAATCCAAATTGGACCATGTCTTGTTCCGGTATTCTAGAACAGGAAGTCGGAAGACAAAGTCATGGATGTCCTCGAGGTTGTGCTCTCCTTTGCCTTTGTAACTCAAACAAAGTACGACATCGTTCACCTTCACGTGAGCAAGGGTCATATAGGAAGATGCGCGAGACATCATCTGCGATAGATCGTCTTGCGCTTCCTTGGATTTACCGCTCTTGTTCGGTATCAGGGTAAATTTCTTGCCTTTATCTTCCCCGACGTTGGCGGTCGAGCCATTGGCGAATGACTTGTCTGTAGGCTGTCTGGACAGCATTCGCATGCTCTCAACTGACTTCTTCTTGCTCAATGAACTAGCACTCGTTGCTGGACGGTCTGATTGGGATACTCCCAGACGATTGCTGCCCTGCTGCTCTTTCTTGTGTATCGCCGTCATGCCAAGACCCTTAAGGTTATACGAACTGTGACGCGAACGAGGTCTCGTTTCGTCTGCCAGCGAAAGCGTGGGTTGCAACCTGAGCTCAATAGCGCCGGGTCCTTTGGACCCTGAAAGGTCCTCGGTTGAGATGTCGCTTGTGCCTTGCGCGCTTGGAGGCGGAGATGGGCTATCATCGTCTTCTTCCGATTCCGAGGCATCCAAAGGTTTCATGTTCTTGATCATGAAAGGTGAGAAACCGCCATCGAACCCATTGGAGCGAACATTCGGAAAGATATACTCAAACACCCTTTGACCAAGCTCGCGCTCCAGTTGTATCTTGAGCGGGAACAGCGACACCTCGAAGTCATCGAGGACGGGAATCCCGCCAACAGCTTCCAACATGTGCCATTTGACCCTAATCATATTTTCATCGGGTTCGTCCAGGTTCTTGGCCTGGTCAAGATACGGAACGATGATTTGAGGGTAGATGGCGTCCGGCAGAAGGTTCAAGCCGTATATCCGTTCAACTGCCACGAGATTGTGATTCGAGCCATCACTATTGTCCGTGCGATCATACTCGGCATTCCGTAGCTGGAATTCGACCAAAGGCTGAGACTGGTCCATCATAAGATGCCATACTACCTCGGATGCAGAGATGTTCCATCTCAGAATTCCATTTGCTCCAGACGTTGTCGGCTCGATCCGTCTTTGAGATGTCGTGATGGCTTTCATCAAGAAGAATAACTCGTCTTCGCATTGAGCCAGATCCTTTTCCAGCACCAGCCGGTCTTCCCAGCCATGCTTGTCCAGGTACTTGGCGTTGATCTGGAAATGCTCTTTGATCTCCTCTAGTTGACGGATGCGGGACTGCAGCTTGAACACCATCTCCGGAGCACCTCTCAGGTCGCTGAAATCCGAAGTGAGAAGTATGCGTTCCAGACGTTCGTTTCTGACCTTCTCCAGCGGTTCGCTATAGAGCAGGAGATCCAGCACGATGATGTACATTGAGTAATACTCAGCCGAGTCACAAATAGCGCGAAAGTGAGGAAAGTCAACACTAATATGATCCATCCTAGTCTCTTGACCATCTGGACCGACGTGCTTGGATTGCCCTTTTGCCACTTCTTCATTGTACTTCAGACGCAGGTTGTTGTATTTGTCGTATCTCAAGCTGGCAGAAGTCTTCTGGATAATTCTCGAGAAGCCGAAAGGATTCAGCTCAAAGTCAAACATGGCTTCGAGCGTTACCCAAGGTGGCCATGCCGATCCCGGAGCGTTACCATACTTATTACCGGCATAGAACTGCAAGTGATTCATCAGATTCTTCTGAGTTGCAACGAAGAACTGAGCACCATCCATGTCAAGGGAGAAGCGGCGCTGCACCAAACCGCTGACATCGTCTGAAACACGTTCTTTGTCCATGATTGAAATCACCTTCAGTTGCATTCCACTCGCGGCCACCAACAAGACTGACTTCTGATTTTTCTCGCTCTGAAGCTGGATCTGCGGCGCAATCAACCGTAAGTAGTAACTATTCTGTGGAGTGAACTCAGGCGATATATTCTCGCTAGAGCTGTCAGAATCTGGCTGGGTCTGGGTACCCGAGTCAACGCTTTCCTGTTCATCAGCACTGACAAAGCGTTTGGTATCATTCAGAAGTTGTTCGATACGATCCTCCACACTGTCTTCGTCTGTGTCCGCATTCGATGGCCGTCTCGACGAGCCCTTGAACATTTTGGATCGTCTTTGGTTGTTTTTGTTCTGTTCTTCGACAATGTCGAGAATGAATTTGACGGCTCTGCGGGACATGTAGTACACGAAACCTCGTCTTTGGCTCACTTGATGAATATAGCGCAGTATAATGTTGCGGAGTGAGTTGTTCCACTTCAATTGCATGTTGTGGATCAAGAAGCGGTTGTTGAAGTCGCTAGCGTATTCATCGTTGCGCGACGAGTACAAGCCGTCGAGATCCGCTTCTTTGCCATCGTTTGTTGAATCGGAGTCGGCACCAAGACGGAACGAGCTGTCGCTCGCGAAATTTTCAGGCTTCTTGTCCATTGGGGTTTTCTCTTCACGTGCAAGTTGCACTTCAAGGCGACGAAGCCCAGTCACAAGGAAGGCACGTCTCCGAGCAAGCGATTCAGACTGTCTGACAAAGTCATCGTGCTCCTTTTTAAGTTCGGAATGATGGTCGACATCCTTTGCCATACGAAGCTCCTGCTCCCCAATCTGACGATCGAAGTTCCGTATTTGTGCTTCAACGGTGGCGAGGCGATCCCTGATCAGTTCCATTTGTACCCGACGAGGTTCGTTACTCTCGGACATAACGCAGTCGTGAGTGGGCTCATGCCCGAATGGGCTGTACCCTGTTTGATCCGGCGTTATATCGCCATGGTCAGTCTGGCGAAAGTAGGTAAAACGTGGGGTGAACGCAAGAGGAAGTATATGTGTTTTCGGGTTGGACTCTTGAGGTAGTATCCAATCAAGCTCAACAAAGTCATCCATATCAACCCAATCAAGGTTCTGGTCTGGGATAGTGAATCGTGATAAATCAACCGAGGGAACTGGCTGCTGGAAGGAAGATATAATATCGTCCCGGTTCTTCTGTATGTCATCGAGATTCGTTCCTTCAATACTAACTGAGACGGCTCTGAAATCGGCCGCCTGCAAATCCAATTGGCCTTGGTTGATCCGCATGGCGCTTGACTTTGTTTGCTTCAGGCGACCCTTTGCTACCGTCTTGATCTGCTCCCGCCGCTGATGGACATCGAGCTTCAAACTGTCCAGACGAACCTTCAGCCCTGTTGCTGTGACCACATCTTCCGCATAATCCTCACGGTCCTTGTGCTTGTAGATGTGAGCCACAAATAGAGGCGCGAGGAGCAGTTTGTACTTGACAGTAGCAAGATGGCGATTGAACTTCTTGCTGGTTTTGGTGATACCAGGCCAAAGAGGACCCTGGCGGACTGGGAGAGACATCACACCCGAGAATAGAGACCACCAGTTGAAGAAGTGCGTGAAGAATCGCGGACTCAAGTGAACGGCGTTGTAGCTTGCTGAGGGCTGAAGATGGTCAACATCCCAGTTCCTGCTCACAGGTGCAACGACCGAGATGGACAAGTGGATGTGGTTGCTGCGGAACCCACGATAGGCGTCGTAGTCCTGTGATGAAAAGTTAGACAGAAAAATCACCAGAAGATAAATTGTACATGCCTTTCGCTCCTCTGGATCGATAAATTCCGGATTTCGAAGGACCACATCGTAATGCGGTTTGAACTCAAACGACCGCTTGTCCCCGTCTATGTTACGTTCAAAGACCAAGCCAGCAACTAATCGGACGTCGCCCGACAATTTCATCACAACCTTCTTGAAAAGTGTTGCGTTCTTGAAATCGCTTGAAGAAGAACTGCTCTCCAAGTCCTGCGCGGTGGCCTCTTGTGCGTATCGAGCCTCGTTGCTGTAGTCTGGGATCGCCAGCACATATTCCCCACTTGTAACACTCATGAATTCCTTCGGATCGTCGCTGGTGTGGATTTCCCATTTTACGTCTTTCCTCCAGCACATGACGAAGCCGCCTCCGAAGCCAGTTACCACATATGGATCCCTAGAGCCTTTAAGGCGCAGGTGAACGTCGCCGTCCTCCTTCCATAGAACTCGTATGCGCGAATGGAAACTTAGACGGATCTTGTCCCAGAATCCAACTCTTTCAGACGCATCTATCTCAGTCTTCGTGAAGCCTTCTATGATTTTCATCATGTCCTGAATCACAGGCTGATATGACATACCCCAGGAGATGCTTGTCGGGAGACTAGTATTGATTTCGATGGTAGGGTCGGAGTAAGTCTTGACAGGAGACACAGATCGCCACACATCAATCAAGAAGGGAGGACTCGTGGTTCCATCCGAAAGTTCGGTTGATGGAACGAGTTCCAGCTGTACCTTTCTCGACGACCTGTAGTCGCGGTATTCTTCGGCTATAACAAAATCCGTTCGCAACGACCAACTTGAGAGTCTGGGAGACTGGCCCGGTCGTAAGGCAGGTATATGTAACAAGTCCAAGGGGTAGTCTCTCAGGTTGACTCGAGCTTCGCCCATGTTCAGGTGGAAGCTCATTGGAACGAGCAAAGCGTATTGTGTGGATAGAGGGATTCCCTTTCCAAGCCTATGGAGAAACGACGGGAACTCTTCAATAGGGAAGGACGGTTTGTCTATGACTAGACTGAGGTCAGTTATCAAGGCTGACATGATACCAGGCCTGTTTGGAAAGGCGAGAATTTTCTCGGTTACAGTGGCATCATCAGGCGGCTCATCGGCTCCAGAGAAGAGATTCCGAATTTCCTTGATGGAGCTGCCTTGAAAGCGAAAAGCCGCGTCAATCTTCTGCTTCCAAGATCGAGCATTGTGTTCTTGGAGACGGAACCAAGCCTTTTCCTCCGAGATTTTGGAATCGGAAGACAGGCAAGCCGAGCCCTCCGTATCATACCGGAATCTCCTCCCTCGTCCGCCCTTCGTATCGTTAGCATGGCCGCGAGGCTTCGGATCAGCACTTTTGCTCCTCTTCGTGTCATGGCTTGTCCGTTCGCTGCGAAGTGTCCGATGGCTGGACCTTGTTCTCAACCTGGATGAGGCCCGACGCTGTCCTGACTCCCTGATTTTCTGAATCTTGAGCTCAAACGCCTCCTCTCGCGCTAACCGTTGTCGCTGCTCAAGTAGACCCGTCCGATAGATGCAACCTAGTTTCCACTCGAAAGCATCATCTTCTAGCTCGAATAATAGAGCTTTACTCCGCAGCGAGATCCGTGGAACCTTCTTTGGGGCTTCTGGATCCCTTGCCGAAATGAATTCTGATGAACGGTTCTTGAAGCGATGATGGAGCTGCTTAAGAGCTTTAGCAGTGTTGACCCAGTTGTCGAAGACACGATGCATGATCATGTGATGAGGGACACCTATGCGGATAAAGTCGGTCCAGACGTCTATTGACTTCTCCTCGACTAAATTAGAGCCCTGCTTTAGTTTGAACTTGCGCAGGTCAACCTTGACGTTATTCATGCTGATAATTCTAGCCCAAACACCCTTGAGCTTGGGAGCTTCGGCATGTAAGCGAATCAGCTGCGCCTTTACGTAGGGAGACGACAGACGGTGAGACCCAGCCGCCAATCCATATATCTGTAGCAGCATTGGAGGGTCGGCAGGTAGGAAAGTTTTGACTTGAACGACTGTAGCTCTGATATCCACCGTGATGAGCTCACTCCGTTTGAGCGGTGGCCGTGGAACAGAGGGAGAGGTTGCAGAATCCTTCGGATGCCATTCGAACGGTGGCTCGGTTGGTGCTTCTGTAGGGTGTTGAATGAATGCATCCTGAATAACAGACACCGCCACTCCAAGACAGTAATAGCGATAAAGTGAATACTGCAAATAGACACCCTTCAGAACCGAGTTAATATGGAAGATAGGACCAAGACGGTCACTTTGGGTGCTCAGTGCAACCTCAAATCGGGGAAGTGAGAAGAACGGCTCAGGCTCCAAGTAGTCTTCAGATTCAATCACAAAGCCTTCGAAGCCACGGGCGTGAAAAGCCAGCCGTCTCCCATCCGCAGCACCATGTTGAATTTGTCTGGGCGGTGATGTTGGAGGAAATCGAAACGGCGATTCGTCACCAATGGTGGAGTGACTTGGGGTGCGTCGCCGTACGAGGCTGATGTGAGTCGGTTCGGCTTTTTGGGCTCTGTATTCTGCAGTCCATGATTGCAGCTGTAATGAAACTCCCCGGGAAAGCTTTGAGACGGTACTGTCCACTCCGGCGATTTCCAAACTGAGACCCGTGGCCTCAAACTGAAAATTGAGTAACCATGGCGGGATACGCCTTAGTATGCTCGGTTTCCTTTCTTGGCGTGCCATCGAGGCCCTCCTCCTGTTCTGCATCTGGGCTCGAAATTGCTCAACAACCTGGCGGATGCCGCGATTGACCTCACCATTGACCATGTGGGCAGAACATGTGTTCAGTGTCCCCGTAGCGATCACGCACACCTCTGGCGACGCGTTGAGGAGGACCTTGAGTTCCAGGGTCTCTGTGGTCAGCAGATTGTGCTTGACCCCGGTTGGGGTCTGATAGTACAGCTTGTGATCTGCGACCCGATAAACTGACGAGAGAGAATAATGTACTCCACCTTCTGACGAGTGCGAAGAATCTATATCGAGAGCTATAGCGGATATAGAGGAGATTAGAAGATTATAGTCATCATCAGAGCCGGCTGATTCTTTAGTTATGGGGAGGACGAGTCGAACGACAGGCTCATGCACGGACAGCTTAATATTGGCTTTCGGGAGCAGCCGAGAAATCAGTCGATGATTGTCGCGCTTCTTTCCGTGCGAGGAGGATGCTCGGGTTTGAACCAGACCGAGAAGTCGGTCAAGATGGTGCGGTTCTAGATCGAGAGAGGGCGAGGTAACGACAAAATTGGCAAAGAGGATATTTGTGTTGCGCTCCTCTGCATTATGATCATCGAAAGAGCCAACGGTTTTGGAAGGAAGCGTAGTCTTGATTGTTGTAGTAGCCATAGGGATGTATACGATGTTGTCCGTCTCGCCCGAGCTATCGTCCAAGCTTACTGAGAGAGATATGGCGGCCAGAAGAGCCTGATGTGCGACGTCGTCCCGCTGAAAATACATGCGATGTGCGGGACTCCTTTGGTCCATGCGATGCAGGTCAACGCCGATTTCATGGGATATGACGTTCAAGTAGACCGATTTCTGCCCCGCAGAAGACGGCTGGACAATGCGAGACAGTCTGAAGAAACTCAAAGCCAGTTGAATTTCCCGAATGCCACGTAGAAGGGAGCTTGCAAATTCTTTTGAATCAGCGACCGTTCGCACAATCACATCGTCACGACTACCGGGTCTGTCCAACTCCTCGACAAAGTCGGCAAACGATATCTCGTCATCCGTGTCATTGACGATAGGGTCCTTCCTCGACCGCCGGAACTGCTTAATCCGTTGCGAGACAGTGGCCAATTCATCGTATGGAATATGGAGTCTTCCGATTTTCAGTGCAATAGAGGTATCCCTGAGTCCGTCGCGGTCGCTATGGAGAAGTCCGTGGATATTGACCTGGACGTGATCCAGAACCTCAGCCGGCTCGTTGCCATCGACCGCGAGAAGGACGTTTTGCACGTTCATGATCCATTCGGCCGGGCATAGTTCACCAGACTCATCCTTCTTTCGGCGAAACACCTTTGCCCGGTCCACCATCTTCCGCCTGGTGTCCACCGCCAACGAGAGCGATCCTATCTGGAATTGGCCGGCTTCGAGGAAGTTGATCGTCGTATTCACCGCAACGACGTCCACCAAACTGAGCCAATGTATCTTTCTGTGTAGTCTCTTGACCTGCTCCTTCATCCGTGTGAGTGTCTTCCACGTCTTGCTCCGCCGAGCTCGTGCTGGGCTGCTCTCCCCTCCATCCTGCGAAGTATCCCCCACGTCCGAAGAGCTTTGAGGCTCAGGCACATCCGCCTTTGCTGTGTTGCTATTACCCCCCTTGCCCAAAGCCGAAGGGTTCACGGTCACCTTCAGTTCCGTCAAGCGAAGACTCAGCCATGTCGGTTGCGCGAACGACGGAGGATGTAGAGATAATCCCAAGCCACGAAGTTCGATTTGTATCCCTTCTCTCGGAACATAGGCAATGCGGCGGAGGGAAAAATAGCCGATTCGCTGAATAGAAACTCCCGTTGCGATTCGAACGATGGCGAAGATAAGGAACGAGGAAAGGTAGAGGAGGAGGAAACCCACGAGGACGGTCGTCGGATTAAAGAGCGTCATCGCGTCTCGCGACTAGTAGGGAGACCGATCCGTCGAACAAGGCCAGGAGATTGACGACACAGATCATCGAGATACTAGCCGATCCTGCGAATAGTTTGAGACAAATATAATATAAAAAAAAAATCAAAAGTCGCCGACCTCACTAGGCTAGAAATATTCTTGCCCTGAGGAATGACCCGCGATACGAGCAATTCTTCACAAGTGTTCGGAGTCGGCGAGGAACAGGTCTCAGTAAGACCAGAACTGCGCACTGGCCTGCAAAGTGTCCGAAGAGAGCCTCGACAGTGATAAGCCAGGCATGCTTCGAATAAGAATGAACAGATTCAGAATGTGATGGATATTGAATGATGGTAAGGAGGGATCATAAGGTGATAGATAGAACCGGAGCGGCTGAACCATAGATCCATCATCTGTCAAACTAGTTATCAAGAATAATAAATAATGTCAGCAACAAGAGACCTGCCAAACGGTGGTTGCGGGCAAACGGGGGGGGAACAATAATCTGGAAGCGGAAAGCCCGCCCACTTGGTCAGAGCTAAACTAAACTAACTACGGAATACCGAATACGGAGTATTTGGCTCTGTGGCGGATCGGCTGTCTCGGCATTATTGCTTGGGGTCAACTGGCGAACTCTACCAATCTAGTGGATTATTAGCCACGATAGTATGGGCCGCAGAAGATAGATTACCATCTCAGGAAATGACTAGAGCACGTCATGCAGCATTGGATGTGTGGTTCTTCCCTGCTTCGGCAATGAGTTGATCGCCCCTAGTTACTACTCTCCGTAAAGGAGCCTCATTGACCTACGAAATCATAGAGCTTTGGACTTGCCTAACAATGAACACACATATATAAATCCATACTGGGGACTAGGAATAGGAGGCCCCTAGGAATGCCGTCGATCTTTATAATCTAACCAAACTAACTAACTCCCCTATATGACAGGTCTCCTTTCGCAAGTGCTATTAACCACTACCTTTAGGGGTACGATTTGTTATATAATCAAGCCAATACTTATAGTTAACGTAATCCACGGCCGAGTCGTCCACACGGCCGTCCCGTCCATTTTCGCGCCCATCTGCTGCAGATTTGAAGCCTTTCAACCCCCAACATCATTAAATTAGACTATTAAGTAGCTGAATATATAGCTATTTATTAGGACAACTCCTTATAGTATGTCCAACAGTCCAACATCCACTGCAGCGTGGTGCAGCGCGCTGACGAGATATAGGTGTGGGCTCATCAACCTGCTTAACAAGTGGCATATCAAGCTGCTGAACACGATTCTGGCCTTCTTGTACAGATAATATGGTATCGCCACCTAGATTAGCATGTCTTCTTGCCTTCTTCTTTCTTTTTCGTTCATTCTCTGCCCGTAGAACCCTAATTTCTTCTTGTAGCAGAAGGTTTGCATTCATTGCCACCTGCGCAGCCTTCTCAAGATGTTGGATATGAGATATTGGACTACTAGAAAGCTTTCTTTTCTGAAGGCTTCTCTGTATGCTGCGGAGCTTGTGATCAAGCTGGCGAGTATTCTGAGGTGTTTGAAAGGCAGATGATACTGAACCTTCAAGAAGTGGTGGTGTTGGCGTACGAAGCTAAAAAGTAATCTTTTCAAGAACCCTGTCTTGATTTAGTGGCTTAAGACCAGCTCCTGCAAAGCCACTGCATATATTCTCTTGATTAAAGATCATCTCACGCGCAGGAGGATATAGATGTAGAAAATCCTCTTTATCAATGTGATTGTTCCCAGCCACCATCATCCCTTCAACGAGTTTCCCATATGCGCGCTTAAGTGGGCCAAAAACACCAACATCCAGTGGTTGTAGAAGATGAGATGTATGAGGTGGCATGCAAAGACAGATGATTGCATTCTCCTCACAGAAAGTATCAAATTCT